GGTCTTTGTGATTGTAGCTTTGGATTGAGTCTTGCTTCATAAGTCTGGTTATGTTCTCATCCAGCTGGCCATGTGTCAGATGCTGTAGTGTTTCAGCAGCCTTTTGGAGGACGCGGTTTGTTACAACACTTAGCCATGTTTCTAGGGCCCTCCAGTGGCCAACAGGGTCTTTGGTATGAGCCATGTTTTGCTGCAGTGAGGGGGAAGACCTAGAACTGAAACTGACACAGACCTATGGGAGAGAGAGAGAGAGAGAGAGAGAGAGAGAAAAACAAAACAAAATAAATGGCAAACAAAAGTGTCAGGGGGTAATGTTAAGTGTGAGCTGTGTGGAATAAACAGGTAGGTGTAGTTCTCTGTGATTGTGATCCTCTGGTGTGCATGCTTCTAACTTGTAGTCTCTGTGGGTAAACATGGGTGGGTCAGTAAACATAAACAGTTTGCACAGTTAGAGAACAGAGGAAGAGAAGAAGAATGAGGAGTTAATTAATAATTGGCTTCCCTTACAAAAAAAAAAAACTGCAGTAATTTTTTGTAAGGGTACTTCCAGGTTCCTAGAGAGATTGTTTTCTTTAGCTTTTGTCTAGCATGAGGTGAGAGGATGTTTCTTAGCTGGAATTTGGAAATGGGAAGCTCCAGGACTGTGATGTTGTTAAATTTCCTCCGAGGTTAAGGAAAGTACAATAACAATGACAGTATTGGATTGACACCATACACCAGGTGGATCACTTTTAGCTGCAAATCTAAAATAGAATTTGAAAACGCCCGTCTTCTGGTTGACCTGTTTTGACCTTGACTGAGTAATGTCCCATGGCAAGAAAGGGCAGAGAGAGAGAGTCAAATAATTTTAACATAAAATGTTCAAGTTTCACAAACTTCTGTCAAATGTTTCTAACATTCTCTGCTTTCAGTCATTCCCCCTTACCTACTTGTGGCTCTGCAGTTCAGCAGGGGCAAGTTTCCAAAAGGCTGACGATCTAGACAGCTTCATCTACAGGTTAAAGAACTGCATAAGGGGCAACAAATGAAGGGTGTTAGGGCACTCATGACCATTTGCAATAACAAGTGAAATGGCCTGACTGATGACACCGATGACAAACTATATGAATAATATATTCCGTAAATGGAAATCTTGAAACTCGGCAAAGCTTTTTATCAATTGATTCAGCTGTTTTTGTTGAGCTTTCAATGCTTTTCAATTCACCCATTTCACAACATTTCACCATTTCAGAGTGTAACTCTCCCTGAACTCCATATGGGAGGTGATAAAACAACGGGACTGATTGCTTGTGACATCTCGCACTCCCCATGGGAACCCCATGGCATACCCTTTGTCCAATCTCATTGCTTTCTTGTGCACTTCCATCAATGTTGCAGTTGGTTGACACCTTACTAATTGTTTAGGTTCTCTCTGAACCGCATTGTTGGCTACATGTTTTAAAATTTTTTAAATCAAAATGCACCTATTATGGCCTCTAGTTTGGGGTTCTGGGAGTTACACTCTGCTGTGGCTGTGAAAAAGTGAAATTCCTTTGAAATGGGTGAATTTCACGATTGTGAAGCAAATTTTAAGAGAGTCTCCCCTTCCTGATGCTTCCTGAAAAGGAAGCCTCTTGTAAAGCCACCTCATTTAATGCAGCTAAAATGATCTTAGGACTGTGAATGATAACCAATTTTCTCTCAGGCTCCCAAAAATGATCAAACAAACAAACAAAAAAAAGCTCTTGATACTGATAAATGATGTACTGTAATACATGCATGAGCCTTAGTAATCCTCTCACCAATGCCAATGCCTGACTGACCATTAAACTCTGGGCACTTCCTGTCCCTTGATATAAATGCATCATTTGGCCAAACTGGCATTAGCACCAATGGGTTGGACTGAGGAGGTGAGAGGCAATAGAATTTTTCAGGTAGGACACAACATGGGAGGAGTACAGATCTGATACAGCTGTTCATTGTCAGCTTACAACTATGAGACCAACTCCCTAAGTTCACAAAGTTCTTCTGCCATAATTATACCACTTACCTGAACCGAAAACTCACTCAGCGAAGGTATCTCAAACAAATTGGCACCAAGTTGCACTGCTGTTTTGCTGCACCCCTAAAAATAAAAAGACATAGATGAATAACAGAAATGATAAATGTACATGCAAAAACATACCAATATAAACATCCACATCTCTGTATTATGGAAAACCCTGCCAACTATTCCGAATATGGGAAAATGAGAGGGGTTGAGAGAGAGTACTTATCCCCACAGCAATATATGCTGCACATTTAAGGTGTGAGGATCCCCAGTAGTAAAACAACTGCCCTCCTCTCACTTCAGGTAGAAACCAGCCACAAAATATTCTTCCAGACAAACTACTTGTCTTGCAGAGATGGAAATGCTATAGTTCCTGTAAGATTTGTCCTCACAAAATCTAATTAATACCATGTACTAGGTCACTATAGGCTTGCACGCCAAATCCAAATCAACCAATTGAAGCTTTCAAAACATCCACTTATGCATTCATTCATTCATTGCCAACTTATCCAGCAAGTTTTTTCACGCTACAGATGCTCTTCCAGCCGCAACCCATCTCTGGGAAACCACTAATGCATTATTATCTGTAAAAGGCTAACTCAAGTTCTCAAAAACAAAGAAAATAGCTGTCTTCACCAGGCATTCTGTCACAATCAGATCTACAAAATTTTTAAAACTATGTATTTAGGATATTTTAGTATTGTAGTAGTTTTGATATTTTGTGTAATGTATTGTGGAGTAATACTTTCGTAAGTCTTTCTATACTCCTCTGATTATATAATAGGTAATATTACATTATATCATTGTAAATCAACAGTGATCAGTTATAATTATAAGCCTGATACTCACAATTAGAATGATATGGTCAAAAATATGGTAGTATTAAACACATTTTCAACTGATTTCATAAGACTGAGAAAATTATTTAAAAAGAACACAAAGAATGGACTTCTCAGCTGCCATAGTGGCAATGCTTATGTCATCCGAACAGGGTGTTCATTTCATCACAGTTTCCATTGAAAAAACATTTTGCAATGTTTTGTTGGGACTGAACACAGTCCTGGTTTCATATTTAATAAATACATATTTAATCCTTTGCTGCAAAAACTATAATTGAGTCTCATAGGAAGACAGACCTCTCATTTAAATCTCAGTTGCTTAGTTAAAAATGCTGTCTTCAGATAGGTGTGACATCATTAACACATTTAAGTGTGACCGACATAAATTACTTGCTTGACATACAGGTTTACATTTGTATTTCACACGTGCAACATGCATTTTGCAACATTTGGCTATTTAATTCCTCCCCCAACCTTTGAAATTACGATGTACATATATGTTAAAATGACGACGTGGTGGCGCAATAGGAAGTGCTGTCGCCTCACAGCAAGAAGGTTGCTGGTTCAACCCTCGGTTGGGACAGTTGGCATTTCTGTGTGGAGTTTGCATGTTCTCCTGTGTTCACGTAGGTTTCCTTTGCATGCTCCGGTTTCCCCTACAACTCCAAAGACATGCGGTATAGGTGAATTGGGTAAGCCAAATTGTCCAAAATGTGTGTATGTGTGCGAATGAGTGTGTATGGGTTTCCCAGTGATGAGTTGTGGCTGGAAGGGCATCCGCTGCATAAAACATATGCTTGATAAGTTGACAGTTCTTTCGCTGTGGTGACCCCATATTAATAAAGTGACTAAGCCTAAAAGAAAATGAATGAATATATGTTAAAATATATTAGCTATAATGGCATATGTGTTCATATATAGCAATATATGAACATATATAATTATATATAATATATTTCAGCATATATGTACATATTTGAAATTTCATAAACAATTTAAAAATATTTGTTGCATATATGACAAATATTGTATGTCAAAAATGTAATTTGCATGTATTATTCCATGTATCATATTTCTATATCAGGTACCATGACCATAAAGCACAAACACTGAATTGCTAATTTAAAGCTCCAGCACAAAGATTTTTTTTTTAAGTTAAGTTTATTTATAAACTATCTTTGAGAGGATCACGTGCTAATCGTGGCTTGCAGCTGGCCCTGCATTATTCAATTTATGATTCACCAATCAGACGATTCCTAAGCCACTATAAATACCCTAAGTTCCATATGACAGTTTTGAAGAATCCCTCCTTCTACCCCTACTCCTCCTCCTTTCCTAGATGGGTGGCACTGTTGCCTCACAGCAAGAACGTCACTGGTTGTACTCTTTACCATGCCAGCCGACATTTCTGTGCGGAGTTTACTCTTTCCCCCCGTGCTCAAGTGGGTTTCCCCTGGGTTCTCTGGTTTCCTCCCACCATCCAAAAACATGCAACTTAAGTTAATTGACTAATCCAAAATGAGCACCATAGACATGTTCCTAGTAAATAGTTATCTCTTTAGAGCAATCACTATCTGTTCATTAGTTACTACAGCAGGGGAGTTCTCGAGATATAACTGAGCTCAAACTCCCCTCTTGCCTTGCAAATGGGAGGGAGCCCCAGGCTCGAGGATCTTATGAGTTCAGGGCTCTCTCTCGCGACAGCATGCCAAACAAGCTTTATAATCAATCATCAGCTAAGTGTGAACTCTTGAAATACTTTTTGGTGCTTGCGTAGCACACATTACGAACCAATTCTTTGTATAGAAAACAGGATTTACATCCTCATTTTGTGTTTCACAGATAAAAAGTAAATAATACTCGGTTAAAGCAATTTATGTAAACTAATTAGTAATATTCAATATTAATATATTATTTTCAATTAATGTGTTGTTACAACAAAACCAGGGACATTATATATATATATAGGAAACTCTTTTCATCCATCCCTATGTCCCTTTCTGCCTGGCCTTTCTCTCTGTCTTTCTCACTCAAATTTGTTTTCTCCTTCTATGCCTCAACCCAGCCCCTCCCTCTCCCCAGTCCTCTCTCTCTTTCTCTCTCTATCCCTTCCACATACCTACTCACACACATACACATTGCCTCCTTTCACTCTCACTCTGCCAGTCTGCAGTTCAACATGTTGCCTGAGCGATGCTGCGCTCCACAGTGGAAGCCATCCTGCCGGTGTATCGGCCGTGCACCACAGCCCGAGAGTCAGTTGTCCATCTGAAGGACCTGTGTGAGGAGCACGACCCTCACAAACCCCAACCACTATACGACAGAGAGGAACACAACACTAGCTCCATGTGGAGGGAGGCCATCCGAAAGAGGAGCTACTTGCTTGAGAGAAGCTCTAAGACTGGAGGAAATGTAAAAGGAGGAGGAGGAGGTGTGCGTGGCCGAAGACAGAGGTCCCCAGACTGGCTGTATGACTCGTACCATCGTATGAGCCAGCAGCACCCACTTATTGTTTTTCTGCTCCTCATTGTGATGGGTGCCTGCCTAGCTCTGTTGGCTGTTTTCTTCGCCTCTGGGCTGGTGAGTGTTTGGAGACTGGGGGGAAGGTGACTGGGTAAAAAGGCAGAAAGAAATGGGAAACATTGTTTGGGTTGGATTTGGGAGAGCTCTTTTGCGACTGTACTGAGCAAGTGACATAGGAAAAGGTACAGAGTTGTACTTTACTTGTATTTAAAGGGTTTGTAAAACAGTTAATCACTGTACAAGTTTTTGTGTGTGTGTGTGTGTGTGTGTTATTGTTTGTTTGTGAATTTCTAGTAGTTTTTTGGTTCTCAAAAACATCATACTTTTTATAGAGTTTCAGCCAATCGGTGCTGATAGCAGCAACCATATGCCTCTGTTTATCTTATGCAGTATGTAATGTGTCTCTTTAAAGCACAATTTCAACGATTTATGTAAAAGTCATAAAGCAGCAGCAGGGAATAATCAATATCTGGATGGAAAGTGAACATGTTTGGAAAATCAACAGACATAACCATGGGTAATTAAGTGGAGCAGCGCAAGTCGAAACTATTAACCTGTCAACAGTACAGCTGTTTGCGTTTTTGGCTAGTATTAAGTGTAGGTCAGTTGGACCAAAATGGACATTTCTGTGAAACGAAACAAATTTTTTGGATGACTCTACATAATGCAAATAATAATATTGTGATAACTATTACCAGCTTCCAAAAGAAAGTAGCACTTTTATTTCAGCTTCAAAAGAAACTAGCACTTGTTCATGTTCATTACATAAACACACACACTTAATATATATATATAAATATAAATATATATATATATACACACAGTTGAAGTCAGAATTATTAGCCCCCTTTTGATTTTATTTCCCAAATGATGTTTAACAGACCAAGAACATTTTCACAGTATGTCTGATAATATTGTTTCTTCTGGAGAAAGTCTTATTTGTTTTATTTTGGCTAGACAAGAAGAAGTTTTACATTTTTTAACCACCATTTTAAAGACAAAATTATTAGCTTCTTTAAGCTATATATTTTATTAATAGCCAACAGAACAAACCATCATTGTACAAAAACTTGCCTAATTACCCTAACCTGCCTAACACATTTAATCTAGTTAAGCCTTTAAATGTTACTTTAAGCTGTATACAAGTGTCTTAAAAAATATCTAGTAAAATATTATTTACTGTCATCATAGAAAAATAAAATAAATCAGTTATTAGAGATGAGTTATTAAAACTATTATGTTTATAAATGTGTTGAAAAAATCTCTTTTTTAAACAGAAACAGGAAAAATAAACATGGTGGCTAATATTTCAGGGGGCTAATAATTCTGACTTCAACTGTATATAAATATTTGGATTTTGTACTAATGATACCATCACTGATTCATTTAAAAAAAAAAAAACTTTTACTTTTTTTTACTTTTTAATGGTAACTTTTTACCATTTGTGCAAAAAGCAGAATTCATATGGTGGATATATGAGCCAAGTGCTGCCATGCGGTCCAAATTTGAGTCTGCCTTTACATTTTAATTTAGGATCACATTTGTCATATTTAAAATATAAATAATTCTCAGAATAAAATATAATTGGTATTTATGTAACCTGCCTTAATAAGCTCTGAATAAGTAAGCAAGATTTCATAATATGAAATCAACCACTGTGTAGATACGCACTCTGAATGCGTATACTTTGTCTGTTGTCCTTTGACTGCTTGACCTAAATCCCACATCACAGTGGCTGTTGAGGCTGCCTCATGGTTGCTTTCTGTGACTACCATGGTTGTGCAAAGCTCACTGATTCTGAAGAAAGAAAGAAAGAAAGAAAGAAAAAGAAGCTATGGAGCACAATCACTCTCTCAGGGCAAATTTTTAATGATTGTATTCTAAAACAGTAATAGTTTGCTCCCCAGTGTCTGCAGGGCTAATGTCCCTTTGCATGTTTTGTGGCATTTAGTTTAAGATCGTGGCTATGTGATATGGCAATTGCAGGCTTTTTCTTTGTCCACTGTGATACAAAAGATAGGACAGATCTAGTAACATCTTGATGTTGTAATGAGGACAGACTCTACATCCACCTTGACAGAAGTTTTCTGCAATTTTAATCAGGGTTTCTAATTCTTACAGTGTTAGTGTGTTTCTGAAAACCGGTCAACATTAATTATGCATGACTGTTTGGCAGTTTTCCCATGCTATTAGTGGTTATATCTTCTGGATATGATGACTTCATTGCTGGATTTAGGGGGAAAACTAGAGATTAATTTAAAGGGAAGCGAAGTTGTGGCAGATGCAGGGCCGTGCACATCTAAATGGCACATACTGTATTAATTGTCTCAAAAGCTTTATTTTTTTTATTAACCAACAGTTATTATATATAAATATACAGCATTCCAGGACTTCTTTATATCTAACCACGTCAGCATTGTTGTGTAAATGTGTTACCTTTATAAATCACACTCACTTATAGACTACGCTTTCTTAAAATAAGTCAAGACAATTTAAAAAAAAAAATCAGAAAATTACAGTTCCATTGAAAATGTTAATTTGGGCAAGATGTTATTCGTTCTGCATTAAATTTATTTCACTGTGACCTGATTCTGTATTGTTTTAGTCACTACAACAATACTCTAGTAAAACCATGTTTACTATGTTTATAAATGTGAAGATGAGTAAAAAAATATAGAAAATAGATTGATATACATTCAAAAATTATAATCTACTGTATAACAAATACATGCATATTAACATAATGGAGATTAATCATCCTGTGATCATATACTAGGATTTAATGTTAATAATTTAAGTTTATTGTATCAGAAGAAGCAGATTTGTTTTTTTATAAATAGGCTATATTTGACCTTTTTTGTGTGATAAACTCAAATGCTTCTGCTAAGTGAATGATTGCTAATCTGCAAATTGTCCGTCATTAAAAAAGCACCATAATATTGTTTTCCTCAGCAGATTACAAATTTAGTTGCAGCTATATAGGCACAATCAGTCAAGACGGGGGGCATATTTATGACAGTTCGGGCAGATCCAACCAGATTTAATCACATACTGTTTTTTAAAAACATTTAGTTGGCTAAATATACTTGTAAAATGGACAGACAGATAGCACAGATTTATTAAACAAGAAAAAAAAAAAAAAAAACACGAAATGGGCGCTTTGGAGTGGAAGGACAAAAAAGGCCCTGGCTGTTCACGTGTCTGACCATCATCACACTATTTATTTTAGCTGTGTAAATTTATTCAAGCACTGAAATAGTTTTGTTTTTATTAGTATTTTTGCTCTCATGTTAGTTTACTTACTTTTTTAAAAGATGACAATCAAGCTGCTTGTTGCTTCTTTTACTCATGGTATTTATAATGCTAAGAGGACAGACCTTTTCACAGATTCCCTTTTTAATCTATGAAACCATAGGAGGTTATTAAAAGTTAAAGAGAGCTCAGTTCCAATTAGGTGTATTGTTGGTATAAGTTGTTTATGTTCACCAACCCATCTGAAGGGAACATGAAAAGTATTATTATTATCATCACGACTAAAATGATAGTGATTTGTTATGATATGTCTCTAAAAGGAAACTATGTAGAATTTTCTAGGTAATGTATCTATTAATATAAAATGGACACCAATAAACAAGTTATATAAGGAGGCCATATATTTAATAAATGAATGCACGCCAAAGCACACTTAACAACAGTGTATGAGTGTTTACATTTTGGAGACATCATAAGTCATTATATCTCTTTCGCAGGCATCAGGGAACCACTATGAATAGAGATTGCCGTAGCTTCCGGGATTTCAATAAGCCGTTATTTCAGTGAGCAACTATGAGTGCTGCATGTTGTAAATGTTAACCTTCAGATTGAACCTTTAGTGCATGTGCATTCTACTTTTGTTTTCAAGTTAACATGATTTGTTGCTGTTGTTTGTTTTTGTCTACAAGAATATGTTATACATTCCACAGTGGCAAACGCTAAGTACTTACATAGTTTACACTAGAATTGAATTTAAAATGCTTTAGTTATTGACTGGTGTCCACACAACTCCTTTTTCGAAAGTGTTTGTTTAAGTCTGTACATAAATATGGAACCAGCTGAACTAAAATGGAATCTTTAGCTTTTTCAAAACACTTTGTTTTCACAGGTTAACGATGCCAGAGTAGCGCGGATGGTAGGCATATCCACAGCAAAATTTATGCGTATTGTTGAATGAACATGTACTGGTGTAAACAGCACCTTAAATTGCCTCAGCTCAAAACTTTTGCCTAGTTCACACTACTGGATTTTAAGGCCAATTTGAAATTTGAGATTTTCATGGTAAGCTTGCCGACAGATTGGCTTTTGGTTGGCGCTCAGCAGTCTTTACATGTGAATCACTGAATGATGGATCAAAGAGCCACACTCGTGCATCGATGACACCTTGCAAATGAAAATCAAATATCTTTGCTAAATTTTCTAGACCAGTCACATAGGGTCAGATGTAGTGATGAGCAGTTAATCAGAGAGCAATTCATGAGTTGTCTGGTCATTGTCTTCACACACTTAACTTCTGTTAATGTCTGTTTTATTTATTCATTCATTTTCTTTTCGGCTTAGTCCCTTTATTAATCTGGGGTTGCCACAGTGGAATGAACCGCCAACTTATCCAGCATATGTTTTGAGGCTGCGGATATCCTTCCAGCTGCAACGCATCAAATGTCTTCTTTATGTGAAATAAATTTTATTTTATAGTGTTTATTTTATACATTTTTTAATTTGAGAGAATGAATTTAACAAAATTGCATTTACAGTAATATAATATAATATAATAATATAATATAATATAATATAATATAATATGCATACCTCCACTTTAGTAAAAAAAATGGTTCTGATCATTATATTAGCGTCAAGCTATATCTGTTACCTTGAATTATCAGTTCCTGACTGTCAATACAAAGTGTTCAACAAACATTGATGTCTCCAGTGGTTCTTACTGTTACAAAAGACCAGACCACAACAACATGAACCAAATAGGTGAAGATTCAATTAGCTAATGGCTCTTTATGCTGACTACATCC